AGGTCGGATGCATGGAGTGTCTACATTTTTTGTAACTTAATGACATTATGGCTGGGGGACCACAAAAGAAAAGTATGTGGTGTGGGAACATGTGACAATAGAAGAAGAAATTCTCCTCTCGATTAAACCAGTGTGCATGCTTGAACTTGTGAAGAGTGTTGTAGTCTTTGCTCGACAGAAAATATTCTCTGAGAAACTATCCTTTGTGTGGTAGACATTCTGGAATCGTTCAGAATCGTTTGTGGGCCGCCGACTGCGGCGCGTGTCCACAAAGCAGCCAGTCCCACCTACGGTATGCTGACCCTCCATCTTTACCGACAGACTATCACGGTAATCTGTTCCCAATTCTTTGAGCAGCGTGTGATTAGGGGCTACTACGAAGTGCGTAGTACAATCTCCGGTGCTAGGCCCAGCAATGATGGAACTGACTAGGTTACTTACACTCTTACCGCATCGGCTTCAACGCCCCTTTCAAGATGGACCAGCCCGTTGTGATTAATTGGTTCCGCAGACTGAGACGGCCCGAACGCCTCATGCTAGAGATGCTGAAGGCTAGTCTAACCTCTCGATAAGTTAGTGTACGTCCCGGGTTGTCATAAGGCCGACTACCCAAGAACTCCTTTAAGTATGTTCGCTACGAGGACGGCATTAACAAAAGAAAGGGAAAGTTTCTGATACTTCCTTTCTCCATCTCACCATTATCAACAGTTGTGTTCACTACCAGCCCAGAGACAATTTGCTGATGACTAGTATCTGGGAGAGGGAGGAAAAGGACTACTGACTGACTGTCTGGCGCCAGGGATTGGAAAGCTCGGGGACTACACTACACTACTACACTACACTGATTAGATGGCGGATGGGCACCCGCAAAATAGATCAATGCGCTGACTTGCATAAGAACATAACCAAACAAGAAAATCAGATGTTCATTCGTTGGTGGTTGTAACTTTTGAAAGGCCTTTCTCGTTTGATGATGGAAGGATGAGAGAAGAACGTTGACTTACAGTACCTTAGTCGAATCCCATTAGTTGACTGTGCCCTTGGCGGAAAGGCGTGATCCTCCAGTCGTAGCGCTTATGTTCTGTTCTGCTTGCAGCCTCACTTTGGTGAAATGCGCTGATGTGTTTGTCGACGACGGGATTGATGTCCATGACTTTTGTGGACAGAGAGTTCAGACTGAGGTGGGATTGCATCCGTCTGCACTACTATGCAGTATAACAGGCTGTAGGCGGAAGAGGCTGGAGGAGGATGAGACTATGTAGTGGGTAGCAGTCCTTACATGCAGACTAAACTTCATTGATTGGACTGGAAATCTCGCAATGATGAAGACTACCTAATTTCTGTGTTCCGAAAGTAAACAAGGGTAGAGAGTTGTACAGCACTGGGGTTCTAAATGACACATTGCCACGAATCTACAGAGGGGTTTTGTGGTTATTGTTATTGTTGTTGACATGCATCGGTTGCATCCAAGCACGGCTGACGGTGGCTGTCTCTGGCCTAGAAGTGAGTAATATATGATTGCGCTGGAAGGTTGAGATGGGATGGAGAGGAGGAGGGAGGAGGGAGGAGGGAGGAGGGGGGGAACCGGTGGTGGGGAAGGAAGACAAGATCCTTTTCTGTGGAGAATTCCATCAATCAAGGATAGACGACAAAGAGGGTGGAAGTAAACTCATTGCTCCATCACTAGTGGAGCGGGATATGCAGGATTGACAGTGCCTTTTTGGACTTATCGATCCAGATTATTTAACATAGTTCAATGGTCTAAACCGGCAGGCCAGAACATCATCCTTGGACAAGGACGGGCATTAGCTTGTTGAGTATGGGGTAAAGGAGACATATATGAAGGGCGGTTAAGCGTCCAAGACGACTGTCTCCTCCTATCAGCTTGTGCGATGATAGTCAACAAGCACACCACACATCATGATCAGTTAAATCAAAGAAGTTGAATGGTTGAAATATGTAGAATGATGGATGGGGGACGGGGGACGGGGGACGGGGGACGGGAACCTGTAGTGTTGTACTGTATGTATGTCTGTGTGTACAGTACTTTCTGTCCTTATCGGCAGCATACAGACAGCCTTCAATGATGCAGCCAATCTCCACTGGGAGACTTGCAGTGGTGGTGCCGCAGAGAGGACAAATCAACGCTGTACACAACTGCAGTCGATACATTGGCTGGCCGACTGGGAAAGTAGACTTGATTTTTAGAGTGGGCTTTGGACACGTACACGATGTTCTGAGTATTGTTGAGAAGAACAATTGAAGGTTGTTGCGATCTAAGAGTCTAAGACTAAAGTCTCAGTGACAATATGAGAGCGATTTGTTGATGATTCAGCTCGGGCCACACAGTGCTTCATGAAGACAGAAGCCTGTTACTAACAGACAGTCCTTATCCGACTGTTACCGACCCAACAGAAGTCTGGATCGTCTGTTGCGCGCCCCGTTCTTTACCCTGGCTCTGGCTTAGACAAAAAGGGCACTCCTCACGTCCAGCCTAATTTCAGAGCCACTTGGAGCAAGTCTATTTCCTTAGATTGAGGCCTCTACGTCTGGCTGCAAATTTTCTCCTTCATCATTTGTCGATCAGTCTGCTAATGTACCTGTTCCAGGAATATTCCAGTTGAGGTTTGGGTCATTCCCCACTTGGTGCCCTCATTATTACTTACCCTCATCAGCACAATCGTAGTACATCCACTTTTCTCCTTTAACACTGGAAGGAAAAGGTACCGCCCACTTTTGGGTGGACGGCCTGTCTGTCGATTCCCCGTGGCGCCGTTTTTTTCTTCAGTCTTCAGATTCTAATGCCATCCCTACGGAGTATGCTGCGGGAACGAACGGGCGGAATTGTTGATGACGGGTTACTGTCGCAATCGATAGAGTATTCCAACTACCATCGCGTTTGGCCATGTGTCAGACATTAAACTTCCACGATATTCTACCTGTCTTCTCAAAACTTGCGTTACAAGAATAATTAGTAGATCAGCTGGGCCTCATTGGCTGCCAGCCTCAGGGCTAAAAATAAAAACCAAGGTAGCACTACTGAAGCGATAGAAAGAGAATTTGGAAACTTTGGATGTACCACATATTAATTGTTTTTATTATTATTTTCAGAATTAGCATTACGACAACTTGTTTTACATGCTGAAGCTCTTTGCAAGTGTTAAAAATGCCTTGGTGATTCATCAGCAACTTACCGAGGCGAAAGCACCCGGAGCCTGCCCAGTGAGGGACCACTTCAACCAAAAAGAGTGCAGCCCTTTTGCCGTGGGCGTACCTGAATTTTTGGTCCCATTCTACGATTCTACCTTGTGTGGTTTTTTGGTACTTCACCCGGAGTGCCCTAGTTGTTGTGGCATGGCACATATCAACCCTGGTCTTTGCTCCTGATTCTTCCTCATCTATTTTCTTTTTCCTTTGTGCTGCTTGTCTGCTTTACGCTAAGCAATCAAGGTGAATACATCTCAGATCCAAGATTAGATTTGGAGAGGGAAGTGGATGATGAATAAGAAGATTTTACGGAATACATCCATAGAATCCTGGGTCGATTTGTGTTGGTCACTAGTGTGACAGTAGTGGGCTTCTCAGCTCGGAGAGAGGGGGGGGAAGAGGGGGGTCCAGGCTAATACAACACATAATGAGTTTTGGCACTGAAGGATTTTGGCACCAAGAAGAAGGGGAGGTGTAATCATTTGGCTGATTTGACAATTGCGTCTTAGGGCAATTTTCCATGAAGTTCCAATTCTCCTCTCCCTCTTCCAATGCCTCTGTCATCTCCAGAAGAGAGACTTCACGCCTGACAGCTCCAGTCTGTCTCTTCAAAATGTTAAATTCTCCGAACTCTGTGTTGCTGTTATGCCAATGAAGTTTAAGGGTTGTGCATTTTTGTCCTAAATCACGCGGAGAACTATGGCCAATATTGTCAATTATTACTAGATCTGACATGGGACCTCACTAGTGCTGTTGCAGGTCCCAGAGTCCCAGACTTCATCCATGGACTTGTTTGTTTCCAACTGACCGTAAAATCAAACTGGCTTTTTTGTTCACAGCTCTAGTCTAGTCTAGTCACCACGGACTACTCTTGACTAGTTTTATGAGCTACTAGCGTCCTGACTAGAGCTGTCCCAGCTGACTGGTTTAATTTATTATTGTTAATATTACTTTTGATTAATATTTCTCCAACTCTGTATCCTCTTCTATTCTTGCGCTTGTTGTTTTCTTTTCAATCAAGGTTGTCTGAGCTTGAACTTTCGTTCAATCTCCATCTTTGTTAGAACTTAGGACCCTTTCCATCCTCGATCTATTGTTGACAACTCTTGGTCGTGTTCTTCCTCTTGGATTTTCCCAAACCATCGACTCCCCTTGCTTGACCGTTGCCACTTGCATCGTCTTGTAACTCTAGTGGGTGACAACGAAACAGCCCACTGAGGAAAATTCACGGGAAATTTCCCAGAAGGTGGAAAGGAAAAAAAATTGGAGAGAAAAACGGGCAAGCTGCATCACGCTAGCAATTTGTTTTTTCCTTTCTGTTCTTGGTTGGTACAGTAGTACTCAAGTACTTACTGTACACTTACTCTACTGCCTTTTGACATTGCTTTGATCATTGCTGCAAGTGTAAAAGAGAGTAAGTAGAGTCAGTCCTTGACACCCTGCTTCCCTTGCCCTCATTGAGTTTCATCATATCATCCGCCGTGCGACTGGTATCTCACATCTACTTCAATCCTACTTACCCTCCTTTCCTCTTGCCCCCACACCCCCCTCCCTCTGATCCCTCTTACACCTCCCTTGTCGTCCTCCTTCCTGAGTCACGTATTCCCCATTCTTCAATGAGATAACCCTCCTTGGATATACTTCGGAAATCGTGTCAGCTGTCGTTTGCGTTCACCGAAGCGTGTATCTCTTTCGCGGCTGCATCAAACTTCCCAGCAAACTTTTGCATGTGCATGCCAGCAACGAGTAATTGCAAATAACTAATCGTCTGACTGAGCATCCAGTCCTCCACCATGACAGTTGCAGCGCCTCCCGTGGCACCAGTGCACGAGAATGGGATCAACGGCGGACTCGGTCATCATGTTAATACTATGAGCCTCCCACGTTTCCACCCAATCGCAATGAATCCGGGCCAAGCAATTCCCCCGGAGCATTTGATGCACGGTCACCACCAATTTCGTCCTTTTCCACCACCACCGCCTCCTCCTATGCAGGAACCAGGCCCGCCAGCTCCGGTTTCCGCTCCAGCACCGCCCGCTCATCATCCGCATATTGACCAGATTGAAGCTCGCCTGAGACAATTGGAGCATGAAGAAGCGGCTCGTATGGCGGCTCGTAGCCATCTTCTCGCCATGCGCAAGCGAGAGGACGAGGACTTTCGTAGGTTGACTGAGAATGCCGAAGCAGAAGAAGAGGTATGGTTAAGAACAACAGCAGAAAGAAGTGAAAATTGTGTCTTATTATTCTTCCAAAACAACACCATCTGACATGATTTCGCATGTGCCTACGGAATAGGAACTGCGTAGGCAACGAAAGCGCCTGAAAAGAGAATCCATGGGCCTCGGGTATAACGCTGGGATGGACTCTCCGCCGCTTCGACCAACGCCGCCTCGTCGGTTATCGGAGACCAATGCAGCCACTACCCTTGCATTTTTCAAGCAACAAAGCCCCCCGGAGCCTCGTCCCATCCCTCCACCGCCGACACAAGCACCTGCACCCCACGTTCCTCCACCTCCACCTGCACCTCAGCACATTCACCATGATCCCACCGGCGCTACCTCGATCAGACGAAAGCAGAAGTATACTATTAAGAATGTCGAAGCCTGGGGAGAGCGACATGGGCGCCCCGCCGCGCATGATCCCTCTGGCAGGGCTCTCTGGAAGCGTCCCTCAGACGGTAGTCTGGTGTATTTGACTTGCCCGGTATCCGGCTGTGGGAAGGCCGATTTTGTGACTCTCCATGGATTCATGTGCCATTTGACGAAGAAACACAAGGACCGCAGCCTGGGCAGTCAATCCCGGGCATTGGAAGTATGCGGGCTGGTTTATGACCCCAACGCCCCTCTTCCTCCAGTGGCAAATGTCAACCGCGCGTCCACGGAAGAGAGCCGGCTTGAGTCCGGCCCCACAGACCATGAAGGATACCAGCAAGACATTGAGTATTCTTCTGCGTCGGATGAGGAGGAAAGCCATGATATCCCAGTGAAGACCGAGTCCACAGATAGGACGTTGCCTGCACCTCCAGTAATGATGATGCCCCCGGTTCCAGATCAACACCAGTTACAAGCCCGCCTCAACGGCTCGACGAAACAATCCATCTCATCCATCATCGACCGCGACCCAGAGAGCAACCCCCGCGAGCAGCGGTTAGATACGAATCCCCCTCGTCCGATGGAGATTCCCATGCAAACCTCCCCGGACCATAAACGCCCCTTCAAGGACGAGGCCGAGTTTCCTCGTCCACGTGAGCATGAGAAAGAGAACACTGACCCCAAAGAAACGGCCGATACACAGTAATAGCAGTCTTATAATTTTACTAATCATCGTTGCATTGCGGTATTTGAAGACGCAAGATGTTCCGCATCATTGCCTTGCATCATAGTTTTGAGCATGTTTCCGGTGGTGGTTGCTGCCGTGAGGGTTCTGCGTCACATACCCTTTCCCTCCTTTGTATATGTGGGTGGCCTTCTGCATGTTGTTTCTTACTTAATGTAATAATGTCTTACCTCATATGGCTGGCCCCGAGGGTCTCAATCGATCTGAGCTTACCTTCTTGTCTTTCGTATTCCAATCACGTGCACATAATGGATGCTTATGAATAGCTTCAAATTGTTGAGCAACACCTCGACGAGCAAACGGATGTTCCATTCCATAGCGCACGGTGACTGCGTTCGTGCTTTCCTGATATCGATTTTTCAATGTGATCATCCCAAACGAATTATCATTGGATATGAATTACTTGATTCCAATGCCGCGTCACGCAGACTTTGACACATATACACGCGATTCAGTCATGATAGATCGGTCGAAAGATGAATCAACTCGGAAGAAGCAGGACACGCAGGAAACTCGCCATTTGCATCTCCCAACCTCATCTTAACTCGACCGACCGACTACATCCTTTATCCCCCAGCTCCCCCACTAAATCTCAATCACCTGAGAAGCAGAAGATGCACCAAATACCCCGTCCCGGACTTCAACGCCTCCCCAAGCACATCATCACCGACCCGCCAGACGCGAAACACCTTCAACGTCTCCTGCAACCAAGCCTCAAACACCTCCGGCGACCGCTGCTGCTGCGCGATGAGGCAGATCGTCGGCGTTCGGCTCCTCGCCCCATAATTATTTGTGGTATATACCGGCCTCAGCCGACAGATATCGGCGCACGTGCGCACGAACGGCGCCACGAGCGCATCGTTGTAGATACAGTCGCAGGATACCAGGAGATCGAAGCCTCGATCGATTCCTTGTTCCTCGTCGTCGGAACCAAGGTCAGGGTTCTCCAATCCGACGCTGGCCTTCAGCGAACCTGCGACGTCGGTTTCCCAATCCAGGGAGGTGAAGGTGATGTTTGGTGAGGATGTTGATTGTTGTGTGGCATGTGGTTGTTGCTGTTGCTGTTTGGGTTTGCTGCGTTTGGTTTGTTGTTGTTGCTGCTGTTGCTGCTGTTTACGAGACTTGGAGGATCTGGTTGAGGTCGAGGGCTGGTGGTTGGTCTCGATGTTTTGACGGAAGAGCCGGTGGACGTATTCCTGGTCTGTCGCGATGTAGTGGTGGACCTTGGGCGCGAGGGTGAGGGCATTCAACCCGGAGATGCCGCAGCCGAGTTCGACGACGGTGGAGGCGGCGGAGAGGAGTGATCGGGTCCAGAGGGGGTTGGTCGCGGAGGATAGCCATTCGGAGAAGAGCGGGGTGATTTTCCAGAGGACTTGAAGAAGAACCCATGTCAGCATGAAGGGTATAGGTATAGATATGCATGAAGGCATGTGGTGGACGAACCTGCGCCTGTTGTGCCCCCTGCACGGGTCGAGGAGAGTAACGTGGGCGATTGATGGATGGTGTAGTCCTGGTTATTGATTGTGAGGTCGACGGTCGTGGCGCGCGAGTCGACGAAGCCTAAGTTGGAGGATGGGATGTCTTGTGCGAAAAGGTAGAAGGCTTCTGTAGTGCATAGTCGGTTGGATCAATCAATCAGGTTCTAATAGAGCTGGCGATGAGGTAGATGGCAAGGGGACTGGCTAGATTGGCTATGTGCATGCGGATGTATAGAAATTTGGGTCTCCCTCGGCCTCTCCCCTCTTCACATGGTATGACTGCAGCGTTGGTAATCTATAAAGGTTGTTTCTTCTTCTTCTTCTTCTTCTATGTTGCATACGGCACGCATATACTGGCTGAGATCGAAGCAGATGGGATTATTCGGGACATACCCTCTTCGGCATCTTCTACCTCTTCTCCAAGTAGCGACAGGAAACTGGTGATCTGTTCCATTGTTTCAAGGGTTTTATTCCTACCAAACAATCGGAGGTACAGAATGGTGGGCTAGAGTATGAATTGCGCCAATGGCTGGAATGCTCGGAGATCGGCGATGCGACGGACAAGACCGGAGGACCACTCTAGTTATAGAGGAACGTGTCTCAATTAGCTTTGCTTTTTCGAGCAGGAATCAGAGATGGAAGATAGGGAGTATATCGCACTGTCGATTTGGCGATAATCAGCAGCCGATCTGCACGAGCGTCTTTCATTTGATATCAGTGATTCCTCGGCATCTCCCGAAGGATGAAGTTTTGCAGATAGCGGGGGGAACATTGCGGAGGATAGTTACATAAGCGGTGCATAACTAAGCCAAAGACATGACATAAACTTCTCTAGTCTACGTGACCAACAGTCGATTATAGCCGACGGGCCGTGGGCGTCAGCACTAATGCTCGTCCAGTTACACAAGTATCCCCTGAAAGCTGCTTTTTCCCTGTCATGTCAGTGATCGAATTCTATTCTTCGGCCCACGCGAGATTTTTTGTCTCTAGTGACATGTGAGTAAACTCAGTAGAGTGACCCTCAAACAATCAGTGCCAAGCTAGAACTTGCGATTTGAAGCTTAAGATGCGAAGGGCGGGCGACAATCATGTTCTGTAAATGAGATGGGCCCTGTCGGTAAAAATTGCTCGATGACTTTCCTGTCAGATCTTTAATGACGATGGGGGCGTCATTGTAGGTCATAACATCCGCCGTTATATGCGGATGACTCCATAGTTCGTATCCTGGAACTGTTGACAGTCTGGCTGGACTGCTGGAGTCTTGTGGACCGCGGCAATCCTTCAATCCTGCCTAGACATGTACTGTGTACTGCTGTACAGTGTGTACCCTGCAAAGTTGAATTTAGCGACTGTACCTAACTAACTGTTGTAGCACCTCGTGCATTTTCCGAGCTCCTGATTCTCTTTTGCTCTTCCGTGGCGTCGAATGATTTGTTCGGTTCCAGAACAAATCTCGTAGATGACTGAGAGAGAGCCATGGCGATAAAAAAAAGTTGTTTGTGTTTTCTCTTAGGGACCAGAAATGATAACAATGATGGTACTCCGTACCATGGGGGCAATCCCAATTTTCTGTCTTTTCTTTTGCCGATTCCCCATTTCAACAGCTCGCTCCGTCGGGTTCCGTCATACCCAAGTAGTAGCCGCGAATAAGGACAAGGAAAGAGGGAAGGAGGGGGCTTGACCATTTTCCCGCCCAGCCACAATAAACTGACTTCATTATTCTGCACTGTCCGGACTAAGTAAGAGGGACAAGATTCAGTCCAGGCTGGCAGCGCGGGAGACCTCTGCGGTAAGTTAACTACGTTAACTACTACCTAGGTAGCTAGCTAGCTTCACCTATCCCGACCTTTCTTTCCCCTTCTGTTCTCTTTTCCCTTCCCCATCTCATCCCATCTCCCAGTCATTCTCTGTCCCTCTCCTTCTCCCCATTCCCAGCCTCTTCCCCATACTCTTGTTTACATTCTTACCTCTGAATCTGAATCTGAATCTGAATTTGTTTCCCCCTCTACCTCCCTTTCCTCCCTTAGACCGGCAACTTCTTGGAATTGAAGCTTTCTCGGTGTGGAACCGACCCATAGCGGAACTTGCTTACTGTAAGTCGACCTTTGACTTTGTGCTATCCGCGGCCTTCCTCTGGTTCCCCCTCTTTCATGGCGTTTGCCTCTCCATGAACCACCCTCCAAATCGAACCCAAATTCCACCTCGTCGCTGACAGGGAGACCTCCCTCTATTGTCTACAGATCCTCTATTCAGTCCGACCCGCCGAGTGCTGAACCCTCCGTCGCCATGACGAACTTGAAGGAGCTGCGCATCCAACCGCGCATGTACAAGAAGCCACCTTTCTCGGTGGAGGTTCCCGGCGTGGAACCCGTCGAAGGAGAGACCATTCCTCGTCGACTGCCTATCGCGAAAGATGGGCTCCTCGAGCGACCGGCCGAGGATGCCGGCACCACCTACGAGATCTTCCGTCGCTCCGCGAGGCTGTACGGAAACTCGAAGGCTGTCGGCACCCGTCGCCTTGTCAAGACCCATGTGGAGAAGAAGAAGGTGAAGAAGATCGTGGACGGTGTGGAAAAGGAGGTCGACAAGGAATGGACCTACTTCGAGATGAGCGGTTATACCTTCCTGACCTTCAACGAGTACGAGAAGTTGGCGCTTGAGCTTGGTAGTGGTTTGCGCAAACTCGGCTTAGAGAAGCCGGATAAAATCCATCTCTACGGCGCAACAAGGTACGCGTGTAACTTTACGGTGCTGGTGGTGATATCATACGGGTGATGGGAAACGCTAACTGTGGCGGTCTTGACAGTGCACATTGGCTGGCCATGTCACACGGTTCGTTGCGCATGGACGTCTTATTGTTGATGGATCCCTTGCTGACTGGATTGTCCTGTTACAGGTGCCGCATCCCAGTCGCTGACGGTTGTTACTGCGTATGACACCCTGGGCGAGGAAGGCTTGAAGCACTCCCTGGTTCAAACGTCCAGTCTCGCCATCTTCTGTGACCCTGGCCTCATCCCTTCGGTGGCTCATGTCCTCAAGGATGTGAAGTCAGTCAAGCATGTCATTTACAACACCGATCAAGAAGTTAGGAAGGAAGACCTGGACAAGCTCAAGTCGGAGTTCGATTATCTGAATGTTATCAGCATCGAGGAATTGCGCAAGCTAGGCGAGGAGAACCCCGTGGACCCGGTGCCTCCCAGTCGCGAGGATCTGTGCTGTATTATGTACACTTCTGGTTCAACTGGACCTCCCAAGGGAGTCTCTTTGACCCAGGCTAACGTCGTCTCCGCATGTGAGTCCGCAAATCTAGCTATGCTTCTTGCCCGATGTGCGCAGAACTGACCATAGGATAGGTGCGGGTATTCACGCGATTGTCGGACCCTACATTGGACCCTCTGATTCGCTATTGACATATCTTCCTCAGGCCCATATCCTCGAATTCATGTTCGAGAACCTCTGCCTATTCTGGGGTGGTACTATGGGCTACGGAAACCCTCGCACTCTTTCGGACACCTCTATGCGTAATTGCAAGGGAGACATTCGCGAACTGAAGCCCACGATTCTGGTTGGTGTGCCCGCGGTGTGGGAGTCGGTTAAAAAGGGTGTTCTCAACAACCTGAACAAGAACAATCTCCTTGTCAGGGGCATGTTCTGGGGAGCCATGTCCGCCAAGAACTTCCTCATGACTGCTGGCTTCCCTGGTGTGGACATGGGTGCTGGAATTCTCGATGCTGTCGTTTTCCGCAAGCTCAAGGAGGCGACCGGTGGCCGCTTGCGCATCATGATGAACGGCGGTGGACCCGTCTCGAAAGATACGCAGAAATTCCTGTCCATGGCCATCGCTCCTATGATCAGCGGCTACGGGTTGACTGAAACGTCGGCAATGGGTGCCCTGAACGATCCTCTGGCCTGGAACCCGGACGCTCTGGGTGAAATTCCGGGTTCGATCGAAATGAAGCTCGTGGACTTCCCCGATGCCGGCTACTTTGCCAAGAACAACCCGCCCCAGGGAGAGATCTACATCCGCGGACCCAGTGTTAGCAGCTGCTATTGGGAGAACGAGGACGAGACGAAGGAAGCATTTACCGAAGACAGGTGGTTCAAGACAGGCGATATTGGCGAGTTCGACAAATATGGTCACATCAAGATTATTGACCGCAAGAAGAACTTGGTCAAGACTCTCAACGGTGAGTACATTGCTTTGGAGAAGCTCGAGTCTGTCTACCGGTCGTCTCCTGTGGTGGGCAACATCTGTGTCTACGCCGCACAGGACCAAGACAAGCCGGTCGCCATCATCGTACCCCTTGAGCCCGCTTTGAAGAAGATCGCCAAGGATAATGGTATCGAGGGCGACAACCTGGAGACCCTGGCACACAATGAAAAGTTGAAGTCGATTGTCCTCAAGCAGCTCCAGGCTGCTGGCCGGGCCGGCGGTCTCAAAGGTATTGAGATCATCAACGGAGTCATTCTCTCCGACGAGGAGTGGACTCCTCAGAACGTAAGTAGAAGCACACGAAAACACTTTTGCACATTTATGCAGTATGACTAATATTCTCTAATTCGAACAGGGCTACATGACTGCCGCTCAGAAGCTTCAGCGCAAGAAGATCCTCAACCGCTTCCAGGCTGATGTCGACCGTGCCTATGGCAAGAAATAGAGAGATTCCATGAGCCGTTTTTCTCTGTACTTCATTTCTTATGTGCTTTCATATTTCTTTTTTTTTTGTTTCCTTGTGTACTTCTCTAACGGATATCCGCGCTGGTTGTCGTGATGCTGCATTGTCACTCGCCCCATCGCATGTTGTCTATCTGGCTTGCTCTAATTGAATGATCTTTTCTGTGATTTCCCGACGTGATATGTGTATATGTGATGGTCTTTATTATCTCTCCTCCTCCTCAACATGTATTCGGCGTATCACATTGCTCTTTCCTACAGAATTCTCTTAGGTTCTATCTCTCTACTAGTCATTTTCGGCTTGTTCTTTTTGGGGATCCAGGAAAAGTAGGCGAGGCTACTGGATAAATGGAACAGTTCGGTTTCTGCTCGTTCACATTGTGTAAGCATGGGTGGCATGAGTCGGTCAGAGACACCAAAGCAATAAGACCTCGCGCGCCGCATCAGTGCTGTATGTACTGTGCTGTTTCACTGCTTCGGTAGGACTCTCCACTCATTCCAATTATGTTGACGCATTCCCAAATAACCAGTCAACCTCTTCTCCATACAGAGTAATCCAGTACAGAAGCTAGGCTTCATACCGATAAATCTCAGGAGTCAAATATTGATCCCGAAGTGCAACGAATACGGTAGTTAAGGCTGTCGTCGTCGCTATCATGAATGTACCGAGTACAACCACCATACAATCACACTAAGCCGAATAAAGCCTAGCGCAATCCCATCTCAAAGTGGGCAAGGTCCTCCTGCCGCCGCGGGCAGACCTACCGTCTGCCTGCCCACTTCGAATCAAGCTCCGTATTGAATCCACGGTATATTGTCATCTACGGAAGGTTTGCTCGACTGCTGCGCAGTAATCGCTCTCGCTCGTTCGCCAGGCTTGCTCTCCAAGCTACTAACTAATTTTCCTTGCCTACTGGGATTCCCGCGCCACAATGTCGTTCTGGAGGTATGTTCTGCAACCTTTCTAACCCTCACCTTTCGTCTTGTCGGCGTTGGGACAACCACGACCGTGCCATTCCTTTGTGAAAATGCATACACCATCGTTTCCTTACCTTACCTACCTCCCATCCAAAAACTTCTCTGACCTCTAGACTCACTTGGGTGTGTCATTCTAGCTCGTACAAAAGTCTCTCCCCCAAGACGCGGGCCCTCTTCGGCGTCGGCGCCATGGCATGGGCGGCGATTGGCCTGTGGGTGAC